ACAGACAGATAGTTAGATAGATAGATAGATAGATAGATAGATAGATAGATAGATAGATAGATAGTTAGATAGACAGACAGACAGACAGACAGACAGATAGATAGATAGATAGATAGATCTAATAACATTATATAAAATCAACGTTGTCACTCCAAAGCTTTCCAAAAAGTTAAGTAATCTGTGTTTCATTCTTGCTAAATAATTTAAATCTTCATATCCTATATTATAAACAGGTCTTGAGTTCAGATTTCTATTGAAAATTATTTCTAGAATTTGAACTCGCAACTTCGTAAATCGTATCCACACATTACATCAATAATGCTTCATGTTTGTAAATCTCTTCTTTCCAAAAAAGTATTTCAGTTTTACTCACCGTAATCTACTAACCAAAGGAGTTTCAGCGGTCCAGGTTCATTCGCTCACAGCTGTTGGGAAAATCCACGGACACTGACGGAGCTGTACTGAGTTGAAAGAGCAGTCAGTGATGCGCGCGCTCTGAGTTCACCACAGTAAATGCGAATTCCCCATCGCGCATCAGTCTGCTGAGTGCGAGACGTGGTTTGTTCAGAATGGCTCCAATATAGCAGTCCTGCGTGTTTTGATCTACCACTGTAATATAATAAATCATTTGGTCTGATTATGGACTCCATCACTATAACAGATTTTATAACATTTTATTTTCCATCAGGGCCAATAAGAGCTGAACACCTGCTGCGCGTGCCAAATCGTTCCATTACGCACAGGATATTTCCTATGAAACGAGCGTCTTTTTCATTTTTCATTCATTTTTATTCATTTATTTTGTACGATTTTTACGAATCCTGTCATAAAATAATGTTTAAGTGTTAATAAACTGCATATAAATTGCATAAAGTTTTATGCAATTTTAATGTTTTATGTGGAAAGCAAGTGGAAAGTTTCTTTCTTTCTTTCTTTCTTTCTTTATACAAAGGGAAAAGGTCATGGTAACTTAATGCATTCATTAACATTAACTGACAATCAACAATACATTTGTTACTTTATTGTTAATTGTTAATGTTAACTAATGTAATTAACAAATGTTAACAAATGGAACATGTTACCCACGTCTTTTTATAAATATATTATGTACATTACACAACTAAAAGGAAAAAAAGACACAATGCTATGGTTTATTTCAACACACAATGTTTTCATCAAAACACAAGACGAGAATTTTTTTTTAGACATAATCTGAGGAAGACATGGAATGGTACTGTTTTGTAATGACTTACAATGTGCACAAATTCACTTGCAGGTATAGTTGGAAAGCAAAATCACCTCATCCCTTTACATTAAAAGTAAAACATAAGCTAGATGGATTATGTTTTATATGTTTTTTGTAACAAGTGCACAGCAGGATATAAAGTTTACATCATAAAAGGGATTTGCATGAAGTACAGCCTGAATGTTATTTGGCAATTAGCGGGCTTTTTATGTGAAGAGACTAAACTCAACCGCTTCTGTTCTTTGAAGTGCTCAGACTGCAGTAGGTAATAAAACTGAAACACATGAGGAGGTTTCATGTAAAGCTTTAAAGCTTCACAGAATAACTCTTGATGTCATTTAAAAGTAGAGAGACAAACACCATAAGGTTTTGCTCTGGGCCAAATTCAAAGTTTTCAAAAAGGTACACAGGCCCCTGGAGATACATAAAACAGAAATGTCTTATTTCTTAAAAAAACGTTAGACATTTCTAATATTTTTGTAATTATGTATTTAAAAAGAAATCAAAATAAGCAACTTACATAATTTTTGATTGGTTTCTGTTGGCCAACACAGTAGTGCAATGAATCAAAGACATGTCAAAGACTGTTAAAACTAGTTTAACATAATGTTTAAACTTTGCATCTAGCAGATGCTGTTGTGCAGAGTGACTACTGTATGTATGAATGTTACCAGTATATGCAGCTCCCTGCGAACAGAATCTATGACTTTGGTGTTGCTCCATATTCTCTGTCTGATGTTTTTGATGTTATTAATTAAATTAATGGTTACACTTTATTTCGATATTCCACTTTAGACATTCTACTAACTATAAGTAACTTTGAAACTACATGCCAACTACATGTCAACTAATTCTCATTAATTTGCAACTACATGTCTACTAACTCTCAGAGTAGACTGTTAGGGTAGGTTTAGGGTTAGTAGAATAAGTTGACAAAGAAAGAGTTAGAAGATATTAAGCAGACAGTCTACTAATACTCTACTAACTGCTAGTTGACATGTAGTTGCAAAGTTACTTACTGTTAATAGAATGTCTAAAGTGGACTATCGAAATAAAGTGTTACCAAATTAATTATACAGATTTATCATTACATTTAGTAAATTAAAATACAATTTTAAAGTAGATCGGTGGGTCTGAAAACACTGACAACCCCTTCGCCAAAGGTTTTTGGATTTTTTACTAACAATATTATAGGGAATAAGTAGGGAATGTCTTTTCCAATAATGATTCCCAGATTTGAAAAAAGTTTCACTTTTAAAGGAACCGTTCACCTAAACATGAAAATTAGCTGACAATGTACTCACCCTTAGGCCATTCAAGATGTAGATGAGTTTATTTCTTCATCAGATTTGGTGAAATGTAGCATTACATCACTTGCTCACCAATGGATCCTCTGCAGTGAATGGGTGCCGTCAGAATGAGAGTCCAAACAGCTGATAAAAACATCACAATAATCCACACAACTCCAGTCCATCAATTAACATCTTGTGAAGGGAAAAGCTGCATGTTTGTAAGAAACAAATCTATCATTATGAGGTTTTTAACTTTAAACTCTCGCTTCTGCCCAAAATACTAATCTTTAATAATGCTTCCTCCAGTGAAACCTCCATCCCCTGCTGTCCTGTCACATTAAAATCCACTGACATATTTGTTTAGAACTGTTTTTGCCATTATGTTCGCATGAAAAAGCAGCAAGTTTTTTAATCCCCTGCCTCAAGTCAACATTATCACAGCTATTAAAAAAACACCCTGGATGAACCAAAGTCCAAGAACTAAAATATAATTTATTCTAATCAGGGCCAAATTTCTGTGATTAAACCGGAGAAAACTGATGTACAAATTGTTTTAATGACTTTATGATAACAAGTCAGCCTGATGGGTTCAAAGAAGGACAGTCTCAGACAAAATGTTGGACTAGGCAATATATTTGACTTGTGGCAGGTTGTACTTACCGGAAAAGGCTTCTAAGTGGCCTAAAATAAATAAAAAAAAAACATGAAAATAAATCTATGGAGACCTCTCGCTTTGTGGATGTTTTAAAACATTAACATGATTGCTTCTGGTAAAACAGTGTGGCCAAAAACAGAATAAAGAAGTGGAAAAGAAAAGAATAAAAATAGATAAATGAATAAGAAACCTCTGGCTCTGAAATACAGATGTCTAGCATAGATTTGTGCCATAATACAGAGCGAAAAGAGAAAAGAAAGAGAGTACACTTGTGCCTTAGCAGAGAACAAGGTTTGTAATACTGAAATGAATCATGACCGGCAAGTCTTCAGGCTCTGAAAATGAGAACGAAGAGTGTGTCTCTTTAGAGTGTAATGTAGCGAGGAAATCTTTCTCAGGGCAGGTCAGAAAGAATCTCTGAAAGAGCAAAAATACACACTGAGATGTGCTGCATTACTCTTTGTGTCACATAAAAAAGGGAAAATTGAGTGTGGTTTTGGCTGTTCGTTTTCCCAGACTCTAGGACTCTAGAAGAAGGAGATCAGTACAAAACATTTCAATTTAACACATGAAAAATGCTAATCTAAATTACATCCGTTAAACATACACTGCCAGTCAGATGTTTGGTAAAGCTAAGATTTTTGAATGTTTTTGAAAGTCTTATGCTTACCAAAGCTGCATTTATTTGATCAAAAATACAGTAAAAACTGTAATTTAAAATAACTGTTTTGTATCTGAATATATTTTAAAATGCCATTTATTTCTGTGACGCAAAGCTGAAATTGCAGCATCATTACAGTGTCACATGATCCTTCAGAAATCATTCTAATATGCTGCTCAAGAAACATTTCTTATTATTTTCAATGCTGAAAACGGTTGTGTTGCTTCAAAATTTTGTGGAA